TCGACTTATTGACATTGCTGAGAAGCAGGTACAGGACCCTCTCTCTCTCACTCACCTGCACACACAGACATAGATATTGATATAGAGATAGGTTTAATGTCTTAAGTGGCTGTAATGTAAGAGAGATAGAAAACCCATATGGGGTTTGAGTGATTTCGTAATTGTGGGTGTGGGTTCCGATTGATCTGCTGGTGTGGGTCAATTTTTATTTCCTACATTCGTAACGATTGTGAGTTGGTATGTAGTAGGAGGTTGATGAGTTCATAGTAGGACTTCCTAAGTCTTCTGATGAAAAAGAGACGCCGCAGTCCAATAAAGTTCGTTCTGTTGCTGGTAGGCTTGCAGTTCGTATGTTTATAACTGCCACAATTACTGTCTCTATCTCTCTCAGACACACATTGCGCCCTCTAATGAGCTGATTGAGTTAGGTTCTGGAGTTGAGAGGGCAAAAGCTTGAGCTTCGACTTATTGACATTGCTGAGAAGCAGGTACAGGACCCTCTCTCTCTCACTCACCTGCACACACAGACATAGATATTGATATAGAGATAGGTTTAATGTCTTAAGTGGCTGTAATGTAAGAGAGATAGAAAACCCATATGGGGTTTGAGTGATTTCGTAATTGTGGGTGTGGGTTCCGATTGATCTGCTGGTGTGGGTCAATTTTTATTTCCTACATTTGTAACGATTGTGAGTTGGTATGTAGTAGGAGGTTGATGAGTTCATAGTAGGACTTCCTAAGTCTTCTGATGGAAAAGAGACGCCGCAGTCCAATAAAGTTCGTTCTGTTGCTGGTAGGCTTGCAGTTCGAGCTGCAGAGAGGTGAATTCTTATGCTAAAGTGGTATTTGTGATTACTTTTGGAGTTTCATCTTTTCGTTCATTAGGGATTGTCAGGCTCAAATGTATAGATATGATTGTGTACTTGCAGTTTTTCAACCTTGTTTGGTATCTGAGTTCCATTTAAAATTTAGGGTTGTGAATTAAGGACCTTTGGCTATTTGAATTCATTTTCTGGATATGCAATGGTACTTTGGGAATTTGAATTCATTTGAGACAGATGTTCTTGAATACAGGATAATTGCTTTTCTGATTTGTCAATTCTGAATTGATTTGCTCAAAATTCAGCTTGTAGAAAAGACATATATAATTTGATTTTCTGAGGGGATGTCATGGACACTAAGAATGGACTGTCTCATATGAAGGTTTTGGAAACATTTGGGTGCAAAAAAGCATATGCTATTGTAAACATTATGCTAAAACTTACACTAACATATAAATGACCAAGGAAGAACAGTATCTAGATCCATGTCTCACGACAAGGGTTTGAGCTTAAGTGGTATGACTTGCACCTCCCTATGGTGTGGACAAGAATTCAAGCCAGTACAGGCATGGTGTGTGTTGTTGCCACCCCCAGACTATTTAATGTGGTGGGGAGAAAACTACAATGGAAAAGGGGGATTTCAATGTGTAACAAGGATAAGAATCAGCAAAAGTAAACTAGCATTTTCTCTGATATCTGTCAAATTTTAATGCTTTGGGCTATGTAATAGGGTAGAACATGAGGTTGTTCATATTGATTTAAAGGTTGTATTATGAGTGGTTTAATTCAATATATGGCAGTTTGTATCGGTATTTGTTATCGGGAAATGCCTTGCCCATTACCCATACATTATTGTATACTTCGGGATGGATGAGAAGTCTGAATCCCAGAGCCCGCTAAGGCAAAGTATGTATCACGTAACTATCCATAAGTTCTGATAAAAAAAAAACTGACCATAAGCCATATAATTCATGGATTTGATTCATTTTGATACATTCAGTTGAATGTGTAAATGTTGGTTGGAGTGAAGAACCACATACATACTATACTATGAAAGTATTATTCATAAAATTGGTAAGACTTCTATGGTTAGAATTGAAATTGTAAATTGCTGCCATCCTCAATTCATCTGTCTTCCTGAAAAATATAATATTGTAGGATCCAGCCTGTTTTTGTCAAATTTAAAACACTTTAATTTGAGTTTCGAAGTCTAGTCTCAACATAGTTTCCTNGTAGAACATGAGGTTGTTCATATTGATTTAAAGGTTGTATTATGAGTGGTTTAATTCCATATATGGCAGTTTGTACCGGTATTTGTTATCGGGAAATGCCTTGCCTGTTTTTGTCAAATTTAAAACACTTTAATTTGAGTTTCGAAGTCTAGTCTCAACATAGTTTCCTGATGATGTTTACATACTGTCTTCTTTGTACAAGTTAGAATTGGATGAAGTACATTTACATATGTGTAGTTGTGTACTATATACATATGATCAAGTCAACATAGGATTTCTAGGGATGATGACAATTGATCAGCATAAAGCTTGAAGCATGAAATATTGTGAAAGAAATGTTCAAAGCAATTGAAAGCGTGGGACTANGATTTCTAGGGATGATGACAATTGATCAGCATAAAGCTTGAAGCATGAAATATTGTGGAAGAAATGTTCAAAGCAANAGCATAAAGCTTGAAGCATGAAATATTGTGAAAGAAATGTTCAAAGCAATTGAAAGCGTGGGACTGGTTGATATCATCTGTATATTTTTGTCGTATTGAAAAATGATAAGCAAACTTCTCATTCAGAAAAAGAAAAAATAGTCTGAATTTTTCATGTCGTTTCAGTTGTCCTAGTGGACGGGGAAGAAAGAAATTCCTAAGATTTGTGTGACTCACCTTCGATACAGGGATCAATCACACTTTGTGGAGTGTTGTATATTTATATTTTGGGAANCTAACTTGTTCTCTTTTGTCCCAGGAAATACCTTTCGCACGTACAGGATCGTTCCTACTTTCCCAGGATCGTAAGCANTTCTAACTTGTTCTCTTTTGTCCCAGGAAATACCTTTCGCACGTACAGGATCGTTCCTACTTTCCCAGGATCGTAAGCAGTTTCGAGCAGTGTGCTTGGCCACTCAATCGGCTCACCCAAAGTTCACCAGGGGAGAGATCTGTTCCCAATATTTTATATATATCGTGCAGGATCAAGCCCGCACAGAACTCTAGAGGATGGTTCAGTCTAGGTGTTGATCTGGGTATGTCCTGCACTGGCCTCACACATAGCAAGGGCTGCTCTGTTCGACCGTTGACAATACGTATATATTTATAGCTGCCACAATTACTCTCTCTATTTCTCTCTCTCTCTCTCACACACACAGACGCGTATATATTTATATAGAGATAGGTTTTTTTGTCTATGTAGTGACTATTAAATTAACAAAATAGAAAACTCATGTTCATGTTGAGAACTGCATACTGAAAAAGAAAGTGGTTATGGGGTTTGAGTGATTTCGTAATTGTAGATGTGAGTTCAGATTGATTTAATCACTCATAATAATTGATTGGCAATGGGTCTTAGTATTTGTTTGCGGTGTTATTCTATTTTAAAGAGACTGATTTTTTGACTCGAACTCTCATCGTATTGACTGAACAAGTGAGCACTTATCCTCGCCTTTGACAGAATTTTGCGTTAATCTGAATTATGTGTATGAGTAATGCTACTTGAATTTAATTTGTTGATCTAATCCCTCACAATAATTGATTGACAATGGTCCTAATATTTGTTTAGATCTGCTATCAATTTAATAATTGTGATTAATTATGTCAACAAATTAGGTTTCAATAAATAGTATTTAGGATATTTTTCATTATTTTGTAATAGAAAAAATGTTTGACAAAAATAAGTGGTTGTTCCGATTTAAAGAGTTGAAGGGTAAAATAAAAGAAATAAAAAGTATAAAAGGTACATTTAAACTAGTACAAAAATTCAGGGGTATCTATAATATTTACTCAAACTTTTAGATACTGAAACGGTCTCGTCTCGCTGTTAATTATCCTCTCCCTTCGGGTCAGATACAGAAACGCAGAAGCAGCAGAAGTATGTATATGAACTGTTGGTCTGGGGGAGAGAGAGAGTCTCTGAATGAATGGCTTTGCAATCAGTACAGCCCATATCACCAATTTCGCTGACTCTCCTTCCAAAGGGCTCTATTGCTCCTATTTTGCTTCGATTATCTTCATCAATCCGTTGCTATTGTGTTCGTACAACATTGGCTGTGTCATTGGATGAAATTCCCCCAAATGCCCTTCGCCGGAAGTGTGACCGGAACTGGAGAGGAGGGTGCAGTCTAGGGGTAGATCTGTGCATGTCCCGAACTGGCCTTGCACTCAGCAAGGGCTTCTCTGTTCGACCCTTGACGGTGCGTATATGTTTATAACTGCCACAATTACTGTCTCTATCTCTCTCAGACACACATTGTGCCCTCTAATGAGCTGATTGAGTTAGGTTCTGGAGTTGAGAGGGCAAAAGCTTGAGCTTCGACTTATTGACATTGCTGAGAAGCAGGTACAGGACCCTCTCTCTCTCACTCACCTGCACACACAGACATAGATATTGATATAGAGATAGGTTTAATGTCTTAAGTGGCTGTAATGTAAGAGAGATAGAAAACCCATATGGGGTTTGAGTGATTTCGTAATTGTGGGTGTGGGTTCCGATTGATCTGCTGGTGTGGGTCAATTTTTATTTCCTACATTCGTAACGATTGTGAGTTGGTATGTAGTAGGAGGTTGATGAGTTCATAGTAGGACTTCCTAAGTCTTCTGATGAAAGAGAGACGCCGCAGTCCAATAAAGTTCGTTCTGTTGCTGGTAGGCTTGCAGTTCGTATGTTTATAACTGCCACAATTACTGTCTCTATCTCTCTCAGACACACATTGTGCCCTCTAATGAGCTGATTGAGTTAGGTTCTGGAGTTGAGAGGGCAAAAGCTTGAGCTTCGACTTATTGACATTGCTGAGAAGCAGGTACAGGACCCTCTCTCTCTCACTCACCTGCACACACAGACATAGATATTGATATAGAGATAGGTTTAATGTCTTAAGTGGCTGTAATGTAAGAGAGATAGAAAACCCATATGGGGTTTGAGTGATTTCGTAATTGTGGGTGTGGGTTCCGATTGATCTGCTGGTGTGGGTCAATTTTTATTTCCTACATTCGTAACGATTGTGAGTTGGTATGTAGTAGGAGGTTGATGAGTTCATAGTAGGACTTCCTAAGTCTTCTGATGAAAGAGAGACGCCGCAGTCCAATAAAGTTCGTTCTGTTGCTGGTAGGCTTGCAGTTCGTATGTTTATAACTGCCACAATTACTGTCTCTATCTCTCTCAGACACACATTGTGCCCTCTAATGAGCTGATTGAGTTAGGTTCTGGAGTTGAGAGGGCAAAAGCTTGAGCTTCGACTTATTGACATTGCTGAGAAGCAGGTACAGGACCCTCTCTCTCTCACTCACCTGCACACACAGACATAGATATTGATATAGAGATAGGTTTAATGTCTTAAGTGGCTGTAATGTAAGAGAGATAGAAAACCCATATGGGGTTTGAGTGATTTCGTAATTGTGGGTGTGGGTTCCGATTGATCTGCTGGTGTGGGTCAATTTTTATTTCCTACATTCGTAACGATTGTGAGTTGGTATGTAGTAGGAGGTTGATGAGTTCATAGTAGGACTTCCTAAGTCTTCTGATGAAAGAGAGACGCCGCAGTCCAATAAAGTTCGTTCTGTTGCTGGTAGGCTTGCAGTTCGTATGTTTATAACTGCCACAATTACTGTCTCTATCTCTCTCAGACACACATTGTGCCCTCTAATGAGCTGATTGAGTTAGGTTCTGGAGTTGAGAGGGCAAAAGCTTGAGCTTCGACTTATTGACATTGCTGAGAAGCAGGTACAGGACCCTCTCTCTCTCACTCACCTGCACACACAGACATAGATATTGATATAGAGATAGGTTTAATGTCTTAAGTGGCTGTAATGTAAGAGAGATAGAAAACCCATATGGGGTTTGAGTGATTTCGTAATTGTGGGTGTGGGTTCCGATTGATCTGCTGGTGTGGGTCAATTTTTATTTCCTACATTCGTAACGATTGTGAGTTGGTATGTAGTAGGAGGTTGATGAGTTCATAGTAGGACTTCCTAAGTCTTCTGATGAAAGAGAGACGCCGCAGTCCAATAAAGTTCGTTCTGTTGCTGGTAGGCTTGCAGTTCGTATGTTTATAACTGCCACAATTACTGTCTCTATCTCTCTCAGACACACATTGTGCCCTCTAATGAGCTGATTGAGTTAGGTTCTGGAGTTGAGAGGGCAAAAGCTTGAGCTTCGACTTATTGACATTGCTGAGAAGCAGGTACAGGACCCTCTCTCTCTCACTCACCTGCACACACAGACATAGATATTGATATAGAGATAGGTTTAATGTCTTAAGTGGCTGTAATGTAAGAGAGATAGAAAACCCATATGGGGTTTGAGTGATTTCGTAATTGTGGGTGTGGGTTCCGATTGATCTGCTGGTGTGGGTCAATTTTTATTTCCTACATTCGTAACGATTGTGAGTTGGTATGTAGTAGGAGGTTGATGAGTTCATAGTAGGACTTCCTAAGTCTTCTGATGAAAAAGAGACGCCGCAGTCCAATAAAGTTCGTTCTGTTGCTGGTAGGCTTGCAGTTCGTATGTTTATAACTGCCACAATTACTGTCTCTATCTCTCTCAGACACACATTGTGCCCTCTAATGAGCTGATTGAGTTAGGTTCTGGAGTTGAGAGGGCAAAAGCTTGAGCTTCGACTTATTGACATTGCTGAGAAGCAGGTACAGGACCCTCTCTCTCTCACTCACCTGCACACACAGACATAGATATTGATATAGAGATAGGTTTAATGTCTTAAGTGGCTGTAATGTAAGAGAGATAGAAAACCCATATGGGGTTTGAGTGATTTCGTAATTGTGGGTGTGGGTTCCGATTGATCTGCTGGTGTGGGTCAATTTTTATTTCCTACATTCGTAACGATTGTGAGTTGGTATGTAGTAGGAGGTTGATGAGTTCATAGTAGGACTTCCTAAGTCTTCTGATGAAAAAGAGACGCCGCAGTCCAATAAAGTTCGTTCTGTTGCTGGTAGGCTTGCAGTTCGTATGTTTATAACTGCCACAATTACTGTCTCTATCTCTCTCAGACACACATTGTGCCCTCTAATGAGCTGATTGAGTTAGGTTCTGGAGTTGAGAGGGCAAAAGCTTGAGCTTCGACTTATTGACATTGCTGAGAAGCAGGTACAGGACCCTCTCTCTCTCACTCACCTGCACACACAGACATAGATATTGATATAGAGATAGGTTTAATGTCTTAAGTGGCTGTAATGTAAGAGAGATAGAAAACCCATATGGGGTTTGAGTGATTTCGTAATTGTGGGTGTGGGTTCCGATTGATCTGCTGGTGTGGGTCAATTTTTATTTCCTACATTTGTAACGATTGTGAGTTGGTATGTAGTAGGAGGTGGATGAGTTCATAGTAGGACTTCCTAAGTCTTCTGATGAAAAAGAGACGCCGCAGTCCAATAAAGTTCGTTCTGTTGCTGGTAGGCTTGCAGTTCGAGCTGCAGAGAGGTGAATTCTTATGCTAAAGTGGTATTTGTGATTACTTTTGGAGTTTCATCTTTTCGTTCATTAGGGATTGTCAGGCTCAAATGTATAGATATGATTGTGTACTTGCAGTTTTTCAACCTTGTTTGGTATCTGAGTTCCATTTAAAATTTAGGGTTGTGAATTAAGGACCTTTGGCTATTTGAATTCATTTTCTGGATATGCAATGGTACTTTGGGAATTTGAATTCATTTGAGACAGATGTTCTTGAATACAGGATAATTGCTTTTCTGATTTGTCAATTCTGAATTGATTTGCTCAAAATTCAGCTTGTAGAAAAGACATATATAATTTGATTTTCTGATGGGATGTCATGGACACCAAGAATGGACTGTCTCATATGAAGGTTTTGGAAACATTTGGGTGCAAAAAAGCATATGCTATTGTAAACATTATGCTAAAACTTACACTAACATATAAATGACCAAGGAAGAACAGTATCTAGATCCATGTCTCACAACAAGGGTTTGAGCTTAAGTGGTATGACTTGCACCTCCCTATGGTGTGGACAAGAATTCAAGCCAGTACAGGCATGGTGTGTGTTGTTGCCACCCCCAGACTATTTAATGTGGTGGGGAGAAAACTACAATGGAAAAGGGGGATTTCAATGTGTAACAAGGATAAGAATCAGCAAAAGTAAACTAGCATTTTCTCTGATATCTGTCAAATTTTAATGCTTTGGGCTATGTAATAGGGTAGAACATGAGGTTGTTCATATTGATTTAAAGGTTGTATTATGAGTGGTTTAATTCAATATATGGCAGTTTGTATCGGTATTTGTTATCGGGAAATGCCTTGCCCATTACCCATACATTATTGTATACTTCGGGATGGATGAGAAGTCTGAATCCCAGAGCCCGCTAAGGCAAAGTATGTATCACGTAACTATCCATAAGTTCTGATAAAAAAAAAACTGACCATAAGCCATATAATTCATGGATTTGATTCATTTTGATACATTCAGTTGAATGTGTAAATGTTGGTTGGAGTGAAGAACCACATACATACTATACTATGAAAGTATTATTCATAAAATTGGTAAGACTTCTATGGTTAGAATTGAAATTGTAAATTGCTGCCATCCTCAATTCATCTGTCTTCCTGAAAAATATAATATTGTAGGATCCAGCCTGTTTTTGTCAAATTTAAAACACTTTAATTTGAGTTTCGAAGTCTAGTCTCAACATAGTTTCCTGATGATGTTTACATACTGTCTTCTTTGTACAAGTTAGAATTGGATGAAGTACATTTACATATGTGTAGTTGTGTACTATATACATATGATCAAGTCAACATAGGATTTCTAGGGATGATGACAATTGATCAGCATAAAGCTTGAAGCATGAAATATTGTGGAAGAAATGTTCAAAGCAATTGAAAGCATGGGACTGGTTGATATCATCTGTATATTTTTGTCGTATTGAAAAATGATAAGCAAACTTCTCATTCAGAAAAAGAAAAAATAGACTGAATTTTTCATGTCGTTTCAGTTGTCCTAGTGGACGGGGAAGAAAGAAATTCCTAAGATTTGTGTGACTCACCTTCGATACAGGGATCAATCACACTTTGTGGAGTGTTGTATATTTATATTTTGGGAAAAGTTCTAGGAGCTATATATCATGCTAAGTTAATTCACTTATTATTTCTTTGCAAAAGACTCCTCCTATGGAAGCATGACATGACATCTGCTTGACATTCATATTTGTTCTTCCTGTTATTTTCTCTTGCATCTATTGCTAGCTAGACTCTCGGCTCAATTTCTGTTAGATTGACTACTTATATGCATTCCAAAATACAGGGGTTGGAGAGTGTACCTGCAGGATGAGCATGGGACATCAACCGAGGCTATGGACCGTATGATTAATATGTAATAATTTCTCTCTTGCATCTTAATTATTTTGTTGGAATTTTCCTTACAAGGATTAAAGAATCAGCATTGGTTTATATAGATCTGTTTAATGTCACTTTTATGTGAATGAGTTAAATTATGTATCTTTGATGGAGCATTAGAAGGATACATGGCGGTTGAACCAGTGTTGCATTTCCCACGAAGTTTGAACACAAAATCCCTCACGGTGGGGTGGGGTGGGGTGTTGATATTTATCATGCTTACAACTACATAGCAATTGTCAAATGATATTTTAATCACGATAGACTTTTTCGAATATTTAGAATACGATGGACCTTTTACAAGAATGCACATACGTCATCCCTTTGCAAGAATGCACATACGTCATCCCTTTTACAAGAATGCACATACGTCATCCCTTTGCAAGAATCCCTTTTACAAGAATGCACATACGTCAGACCTTTTACAAGAATGCACATTTGTCTTCCACCTTTTACAAGAATGCACATACGTCAGACCTTTTACAAGAATGCACATTTGTCTTCCACCTTTTACAAGAATGCACATACGTCATCCCTAGTCTCTGACGCGTCAACAACTTAGAGTAACTTCATTTGGATTCGACAATACTCCACTTGTTTGCTGAGAAGACGGTGAATGAAGTAGAACCCTGAATCTCAACTAGGTTGATACCTACTAACTTATCTGTCATTTGTATTACTCTACTATTTAAAACTTATATAGTTGATACATGAGAAAGAAAATAATATATTATTTATAATATCTAAATTTTTAAAACTTCAAATTTTGATATTGAGAGATTTATTTTAAAGTTTTAAATTTAATGGTTTAAAAGTATAACTTTTTTTTAAAGGAATGGTAGATAGGGCTGGGCTTGCGGACGGGCTTGACGGGCGGGTTTCGGGTCGGGTAATGGATTTGGGGGCAAACTCAAACCTTTTTTTTAAGGATATTGGGTTCGGGCGGGTCAATTATTGGACTTATCAGACTTCGGGCTTATTTTTGGGCCGAATAATAAGATCCGTGGGTAACCCGGCCAATAGACACTCTTAATATTGTTGAAGAAACCCAGGTCATGTGGGGAGTGTGGAATCGTCCGTTGCAATCTATAAATGGTAAAGAGGGAAGGGTATTTGCGTCTTGCCATAAAATAAAAAACTTTTCCCTCTTTACCATTTATAGATTGCAAAGGAGGATTTCCTAGTTGCATACCGACTCCGCTCAATGCCATAGCATTATTTTCCTTTTGTTGGTCTACACAAAGTTACTCTGTACAGAGGAATATTATCCCACTCCATTGTTCATAACACAAAGTTGAAACTTTTTTCAAGTTTCTAAGACCCAAAGTTGAAATTTTGTGTTAGGAACACATGGCCTGCCCGACAGTGGAGGACAAGAAGTGGTGGCTTTAGGCCCCACCAATACAGAGGGCCCCAAAATTTTAAAAATTTATAAATATAGCCCAAATCAATTTTAATCCATAAATATTACCTTATAAGGAAAAAGCCCCATACGAAGGTCTAAACCAACAAAAAAGCTCTAAACTGATTTTGAGCCCAAAAATTCAATCTATTAATCCCACACAATAACGTTTTAGAAGAAAAAAAAAGAAAATATTTTTTATCACTAATTTAATGATCTTATTTGGTGGCATGATAGATCATAGGTGTAAAATTGATAGTGAGTCCCAACTAATAATAAGATCCATTGTCAATTTAATGACAAAAAATAATAAAATCGTCAAATAAAATTACTAAATAAGATCCATGTAGTTTTACCCTTTTTATTATAATCTTAAAAAATATAATCAAACATATATTACATGAATAGTGTCTAATTCATAGAAAAATAATTTTATAAGAGTGTCAATGACGAGACAACATAATCTGTCAAATAATTTTTGAATTTAAAAGTTTTGAAATTTTTTATTTAATTTAAAAATTAAGTCAATTAGTTATACTATCAATAAAAAGAGATATGTTAGAAAACAATATGGATACTAAACAATTAATATGCATCTGGAAAAAAATTAAATATTAAAAAATTTATACTATTATTAAAAAAATAATAAAAAAAATTAAATTAAATTTATCGCTTTATTAGAACTCACAACATATCAAACCACCTTATGGACAATGGAGTGGGCCCAAAAGTAAACAAGGATACTCTCCTTTTAGTTTATATATATATAGATATAAACGTCATTGCTTGCATACTTACTCATAAGCTCTCACAGTGATATCGTTATTTCCTTTATTCTCTCTCTCTCCTCTCCTCTCCTCTCCTCTCCTGGTTCACAGCAGATTTAAGATGGTTGCACGAAGGATAAGTAAAATGAGGAAGTACAGGACTTCCATATACAGGGATGATATTCCTGTGTATGCAATAACCACCACTAGCACTAGGTAGTATCTTCAAGGTTCCACATCATGCATTTGTTTCCAGTCTTGTGCATTTTTTTTGGTTCAGTGTTCATATTTGTATTTGAGTACAGGGTTTGGCATTTTGTTGTTCATTTTCAATTTTTTTTTTCCATTAAATTCTCCAATTATTTCAATCCATGTTCACTTTGGTTTTGGTTTTTATACCGTCCTTTTAGACATCTTTCAAATGGATTTTTTGGTCTCTTTTTAGCCTTATTAAACTGTATAGGATTCACTTGTTCATTTTTCCTATTGTGTGGTGTGTACACTAACCCTGATTGCAGTATTCAAGTGTTGTCTATTGTTGAAAACAAAATTTCAAGTCATGTTTTTTGTTGTTCTTCATTGGAATTACGGATTAAGCTTGATCTTCATTGGAATTTTTAGAAACTCTTATGATGTTTTTTGTTCTTGGGCTGGCTATCATGCCCTATGCTTTTAGAATGCTCCTATTGTTGTCAGTTGGAAACTGATGTATGTCCGGAGCTTAAGTTTTTTGGGCTGAGCATGTTCGTTACTTTCCCTTATATATCTTATGCCCAGGTGGCCAGATCGGTGATTAAGCTTCTAGATGCCTGTCTGTCGTTGGAGGATATTCTTTCTGTTTTTTATATTCGGACTAACTGCAGAATTTTTTAGCATGTTGCTGTGTTTGAAAAGTTCCTTCCTTAATTTACCATATATGTGGGTGTAATTACACATATTTTTGGTGGGAATATTGTCTTTAAATTTGAATTAAAATTACTAGAGAGTAATATTGACAATAAACAAAATAGGTTGCTGACATCATGCATTTCCGTTAATTTTCTTAACGGATTTAGACAGAGGGATCTATGTGAAACAAAATTCAAATGGCAAGGATGTTTGTGTCAATTTTGAAAAGTCAAGGGGTGTTCATGTAATATTGACAAACCTCGGGGGTGTCTTGTTTTTTACCCAAAATATTATAATGAAATTGTTTTTCTCCTCAAAAAGTTACTTTAAAACATGCTACGGTTCGGTAGCTAAATGAGTTCTCAAAAGATTATCAGCAAAAGATAAAGAGTAGTGGGGCTTTCCTCCTTCTCCTCCTCCTAGGTGCCTTTTTTTGGGGGACCCCAAAAACTGAGTGTTATTTTCACATCCTGAAGCTAATCACCAAGATAATCATATGCATGTATGTCCTTTAACTGGGTTGTAGATGAGTTTAAGGTGGCATGTTCCATGCCTGTTTGCCAAAGATTGAGGGAAATGCTCTTGATTTATGAGGCTAGATACAATATTAAGATTTATTTATATACATCAGTAGTCGAACATTATATTATGAAAATATCCATATTAGCATTGCATCTTTCTATGTTTAAATAACCAAATTACCCTCCAATAAATCATGTAAATTTCCCTATTTTTGCAAAAATTTTGAATAACCATATCAACCTTTGCGCAATTGATAAAGAGAAAATTATTTTTTTAGTAAAAATATTTAAAAAACGCGTTGTTAATGCAGTATTATCCCAAATGCCCAAAAACTAATATATGTATTTTGTCTCTTCATTTGTATGTATTATACCCCTTCTATTTTTTCAAAATTTATCAATTTGTTTACAAAAAACATTCCCTTGCAACACATGTTTTGCATGGCTAGTGCTAGTATAAATAAAAACACATTCAGAAGTTAGCCAACCATCTACTTCAATAACCATATCAGCGATTTTTTGACGTTTTGATTTTACTCATAAGCAAACATTGGAAGACCTTATAATTTATGTGGATAATTCAAAAGAGGTACTGCACCTTCTTTTACCAAATTTGTATTCTAAAACTACTTCACTTCATTTTTCTGACAGTGGAAAATCGTCTCCTCCAAGCCACGAGATCTTCAAATATCTGGTGCCATTACTATTTGCCCTCGTCGCCACGAAGTATCAAGCCAGAAATGAGGATCCATTTGAAGCACACCCGATAAACATGTGGTGCTTTGTTATAGCCACAATCATCTATGGCCTTGCATTGGGAATAAGGAAACAAAATACTCTCCGTGTTGCAAAATACTCGCAAATCATAGACCATGTTATTCTCTTCTTTGGGGCTCTTTCTTCAGTCTCATTACTATCGGTCCTCCTCCCACGCTGCCTCGGGTTCTTGAGTTTTGGTGTAATGTCATTTGTGCTAATAATAATAGCATGGAATAAACTAAAGCATGGATTTTGTTGGCTCTATGACAGAGCAACCGATCGGTTTACCTTCATTCCAGATATTCGGGATTGGTTCACCCAAGGCAACATGGCAGCGCAGCCAAATCCATCACCACGAATGTAATCCTCTCCGCTCATCCTCATGGTGTTGCAATCAATCAGTTTGAAGTGTTTTTATTAGACTCGTCGCTCCTAAATCGTTCTTGTACTTGCTTTTGAGCTGATTAGCTGATTAGCTTCATCATGTTTTTTACCAATGGTTTTGTTTACCAAAAAATTAGATTTACAATATTGTCCAAAAATACCGCGAGATATACTCTCAAGACTCGAGAGAGCTAATCATGATTCAATTGTCTCGTCTTTTGTTTTTTTTATACTAGCAATACACTACGTGCGTTGAACATGAATAATTTATATATATATAAATTAATAAAATATAGTAGGTATACATATATTTGAATTAAATATCATCTCAAGTTTACCAAACTTAGTTTTTTATTACTCATATTTTATTATAGGACTAGATATTGCCTGTGCATGAAGGCACAGAGTAATAAAAAATAGTAAATAATAAATATATTTGTATTCATATTCAAAATTAAATCTTAAACATAGAGAAAAAATAAAAAAATTTAAACATCGATTTTGTAGATAATGGGTGGTAATGGTGGTGGTAGGAGACAATAATAGTTGTGGTAGCGGTGGTAGTGGTGGTGGTGGTAGTGGCGGCGGCAGCGATGTTGGTGGTGGTGACGGCGACAATGGTGGTGGCGGCGATGGTGGCAATGACGGTGGTGGTGATGGCAGTAGCGACGATAGAGGTAACAGTGGTGGTGACGACGACGGCGACGGTGGCAGCGGTGGTGGTAAAAGTAATGGTGAAGCAGTTCAAAATAATATATATATTTTTAAAGTACTTATGAGAAATAATTTTTAAAAACACTTTTAAAAAATTACTCCAAACACACTGTTAGGGACTTATTTTTTCCTATTAAATTTGGACTTTTAATATTAGCCGTTAGATTAACTTTAAAGTAAAACTTAAAGCGATCACAACCACGAATAACAAAAGTCATTTTATTTATCTTTTGAGATTTGAATTGTAAACTATTTTATTATATAGATTGTTAAAACTTTATACATTACCAAAATTTTTTATTTCAACCAGAAAAAAGATTAAAAAAACTAGTTAATTTTTTTTTTTTAGAATTTTGTAATTGAGATTGATTTTTTAGTGGTATTTGAGAAATCAAATTTTTTGAAATTCATTTTATTAGGATTCCATTTATAATTTCTTGAATAAAATTAAAAAAAAATTACATCTAGATTCCTTAAGGTTTGTCACTAATCACCTAGACTCCCAAATATTTAAAATATTATACACAAACCTCCTGAGGTTTATACGTGTGTAACGCATAAATTTCTACCATTAATGTTCATTAGTATATTACATTCAGATCCTTAAAATTTAAAGTATGTAATAGTTAGATCCCTCAAGTTTAAATATTACAATTAAACTGAAAATATTACACTTAATACTACTAATGTCAAAATTTAGATTAATTGCACGCCAGTTTGTTGAAATTTGATCACCTGAAAAAGAAGTTGGAGATTAGAGGGGAGTTTTGGGGTCTATTCTTCGATGCCTAAGTTAGTATGTGACTCAAAGATATGAAATGCATTTAGAAGATAGGAGTGGCATACCTGGAGTATTTTGGATTTAGGTCAATTTTTCCATCATTATGTATGAACATATGAAATAAGCCTAATCAACATATTTGCATGCTCCATTATATCATCTATTAACATAAAATCAAAACAAATTCATTTTTTTTTTTGAGAAAAAAATAGTAAGCAATATAAATATATCAAAGAACTCAATTCCATATTTATTTACATATAATTATACAATTTATTGGAATAAAATTAAAAAATTAAACAAAGGGTCAGAATGTAATGAATATAATATATTCTATTTTTAATTAGGGTAATTTAGTCTTTTAATAGATTCTATTAGTTCTATAACTAATAAGGGGACTAAAGTGTAATATTTCAAACTTGTGAGGTCTAAGTGTTAGACACCTACGAACTTCAGAGGTTCTAAATATAATTTACTAGTTGATGTACTAATGGACATTGACGGCATGAGTTTAAGTGTTATGCGTGTACAAACCTAAGGAGATCTGTGTATAATATTTCAAATGTCAGGAGATTTAAGTGATTAAGTGACAAATTTCAGAGAATTTGGGTGAAATTTTTCCTAAAATAAAAGTAATTGTCAATATAGTAATCATATTCGAACTTTACTGTAATTAAAAATTAGTTTGGTGAATTTGGATAAGATTTAATATACTACTCTAAAAAATCTAAGATTTGCAAGTTTTACTTAAAAATTCTAAAAAGAATTCAAATTCTACAATATTAAAATTTTAAAAAAAATTCAAATTTTACTTAGAAATACGTTACAATATCTATTTTCACATATTTTCTTAATAACTCAGAAAGTTTATTGTGACTGAATTATACTAATGTAACATGAATTAATTTTAAAAAATTGTATATATGATAATTTTTTATCTTAGAAATGAAAGGGTTAAACTTTTCGATGAAAAAGAAAATACACATATGTAGGCATAATGTTATCTTTGCATATAAGGTGAGTAATATTAGATTGATGAAATTTTTAAACACTTCATTGAAAATATGATGATGCATATTTTTTAAAGGTTATATAGTCAATCAAATTTTTTTTATAGAAATTAATATTTATAGATTGTGAAGAGATAATTAAAAGGGATGTTATGTTAGAGATAATTTGAAAATTTAAATACATAAGTATATGATGATCATTTCAATTTTTAATTGTGAAAAGATATAATGGTCTTTGTAATTCTTTATATGGGTAAAATAGAGATTCAAAAATTTTTCATATTAAGGTACTTTTATTAATAATATAGATTGTACTAATAATTAGGTTGGACAACTTTGTCCACGTTTGTTTTGATTGATCCTTGTTCTATTGTTTTTTTCCAATTATTAATAAAATTGTTGTTTTTTAGCCAAAAAAAAAAAGAGTGTGTTTGGCAATGTGATCAAATAGACTTTCGGGGTCATAGAAGTCCGTTTTGAAAAAAATTGGTCTGTCTAATGAGAGATTCGATTTGAGATGGACTTCCACAAAAAGACTATCTCCTAAATGCCCATTTTAAAGATGGAATTTTCGGTCTTCAATTTGGGATTTGGTGTATGTGTAAGTTTCAAAATAATTGAGCAACAACGGGCGGTGGTGGGCTATTGTAGTGGGTGATGGGTTGTGGTAGTGGGTGGCGGTGGACAACAATGGTGGTGGTGGGTGCTGACGGTGGTAGTGTGATGCTGGTGGTATC